CTTTTTTTGTTCTTTTTTGGCAATGGTTGCCCACCGAACTTTATTTTTGAATGGATCCTTTCATCGCAATTCTGGAGCATTAACAAGGGCAACAAAAGAGCAAGACAACTAGACTTCTTAACTTACAATACAGACAACAACAAAAACACATGGTTTTATTTTGACCTCTTCCATGAAGATTGGCGGTTTTTAAATGGAGGAAAAAGAACAGTTAACATTTAATTACTTTGAATTATTTTTAAAGAACGATGATAAATTATATATTATATTAAAATTATACAATCCTTATTTTAATCAATCTTTTTGCTGCCTACCCCTAACTTTCTTCCTCCTTTTGTATGGAACTCCACTAGATGAAAACTAAACCCTAGAGGACTAGTTCTCTAAGACAAGAACATGCTAACCCGACAACCCCAATCATGACCTTACCCTATACATACCACATCCTTTACACTTCCCCTAGACTGACACTAACTATAACCTAACCCTAACCATAACCCTAACCCTAACCCTTACACTTACCCTTTCCCTACCCCAACCCTTCCCTATCATAACCCTAACCTAACCCTTACAACATATTTTAACGAAATATATATTTTATTTTTATTTTATTTTATTTATTAATAAAAATTTTTTTAAATTAATTTTATTTTTAAACTAACAAATTATTATTTGTTTGGTTAATTTTTCTCACAACATCCACCCTACCACACACACTCCTTTTATCCATTGATAACTTTGCGTGTATCAATGTTCATTAGGGAACCCTTTTTAGGGATCCCTTACCACAACACTCAAAATGCCACATAGGTTGCTAGTGATTCTACCAACATTTAGCTTAATTAAAACAGCTTGTAGAGAGTTTTGTTACAGAAAAATAAGAGAAACTTGATTTGATCGGGACCAGCCAACCATGTCCACCTTAGAGAGGTGTCCGCCTTACAGTGGTGTCCACTTTAAGAGAGTTGGCTGTCTGTAAACCAGTGAATTTATGGAGGGTAGAAATCCCAAATTGTTACTTTCTAAAATCAACGTAATTATGTTACCAACTGAGGGGTAGTTTGCGAATGTTTTGTAAATGAACTGACAGAGCGAGCAGATTATTCCAAGTTTACGTACTGTAGCCAATCGGAGCATGTAAACACCATTACTCACTGGTTTATATAAAAATACCTCTGAGAATCACTAATTCTGAGAATCACTTGATAACTGTAATATTTCAAGGATAGCCCTGCCTCAAATGAGAGAGGTGGGGAGGGGGGAATGTATAATAAACTAAATTGAATTTTTTTTGGGTGGGGGGCATTATATATTAATGTAAACCAGTTACCTAACAGGAATTTCCTCATATCAAGAGACTCTATTTTAAAGGCGACAGTACGTTGAGGATCTCCAAGTTTCTGATAAGCATCTCCAATGTAATGTAGTAAGGATGCCGTGAAAGGGTGTGTACCCAGTAGCTCTCTGTATCTCACCAGACAGATGTTCCGCCAGATGTTACAGCAGCTTGGTATTTTCCACTAATAAACATCGCCACTGTTGCAAAAGAAAAGTTCAGAACCAACAGAATTAATGGTGATGAAAAACGGTGTAACATGTTTCTCGGAATTCTTTTTCCAAATTCGCTTATTGACAAAACTAATCCTATAGGAAGTATGGCCCCGGCCGCACTAGGCTGACAAAATTTGTTTGGCGCTACCAAAATATACTACAAATTTTGTCTCCGCCAAATTTTCATTTTGATAAACGCGTACGCACTTGAAAACCAAAACTCATGACAAATTATTCGCGAACCACAACATATCAATCACGTAGAAACCGAAAACCTCTGTTGTTGCTGTGAAATTTTGCATGAGGAGCATTTCGACAATCTTTTAAAACCAGTACTTTCTAAAGTTTCTCCTCTGCGATCAGGCGTTCTTTTCCTTTTCTTTCTTTTCGCGGAGAACGAGAGCGCGGAGAGAGAGAGAGAGAGGAAAAGGAACGCCTGATACAATTATTTGCCGATTCGCTTTCCGCCCACTTGTCAATGATCTGTCAAGCTGTCAATTTTCAAAATCTACGTTACAGTTCGTGACATTTGTACACTTGCCGTTCTCTTGAATTCGGTCTTCTGACCTTCTTTGCTTCAAGTGCATTTCTAACGGGCAAGATATGTTGTATTATGAGGAGCATTTTGAAGTAGAATAGAACCTTCGACTGTGTTTTTGCCATCAATTTCATTCCGAAAACAGCACTGACTACATGGGGTGTATGTAAAACCCGGAACACACCCGGAACACCCCGGAACACCCCGGAACACCCCGGAACACTCCGGAATACCCGGAACACCCCGGAACACCCCCGGAACACCCCGGAACACCCCCGGAACACCAACAGAAGACCCCAGGAACACAAAAAATATAAAAATAGTAATAAAATAATAATAAATAAATAAAATAAAAACAAATATATTTATATAGTGGTTGAAGTAGTGAAATCGAACACGGTAAGCGGTCAAGAGCCGTTAACGAATCGACTGATACCGAACACTTCCGAAGATGCCCCGAAGATTTCCGAAGATTTCCCGAAGATTTCCGAAGATGTCCCGAACACTTCCGAAGATTTCCGAACACTTCCGAAGATGTCCCGAAGATTTCCGAAGGTATATCGAAGACTTCTGAAGATGTTCCGAAGATTTCCGCACGTTTTCAGAAGACCGAATTTTTCCGAAGCTTCTTATCTAAGAGTGAATAAGTGGCAAAGGACCGCTCAAAATTCAAATGTTTGCCAATTAGCCAAAGCCACAGAGCGTGACATTGAATTTGAGGTAATCGGAGGTCATTGCCATGTGCAATTTCGTAGACAATTGGTCATTGGTCAATCATGTCGTTGTTTGTTCAGTCGAACCTCCCTAACCTGAGTATCAGGCGAATTTTTCTGCGCTCTCTTTTACTCTTCGTCTTTACGTAAGCGGACACCCTCGGGACCAGAGAAAAATTCGGGTCTTCTGAAAACGTGCGGAAATCTTCGGAACATCTTTGGAAGTCTTCGAGCCATCTTCGGAAATCTTCGGACATCTTCGGAAATCTTCGGAAATCTTCGGGGCATCTTCGGAAATATTCGGAAGTGTTCGGGACATCTTCGTAAGTCTTCGGATATATTCGGGGCATCTTCGGAAGTGTTCGGTATCAGTCGATTCGTTAACGGCTCTTGACCGCTGACCATGTTCGATTTCACTACTTCAGCCACTATATAAATATATTTGTTTTTATTTTATTTATTTATTATTATTTTATTATTATTTTTATATTTTTTGTGTTCCTGGGGTGTTCCGTTGCTGTTCCGGGGGTGTTCCGGGGTGTTCCGGGGGTGTTCCGGGTGTTCCGGGGTGTTCCGGGGTGTTCCGGGTTTTACATACACCCCTACGATTGCGTTACACGACACAATTTGCATAATAACGTCCTAGACATGTCTAGTCAGTCGTTAAGGTCGAATGATTCCATGATTCCGTTTAGAAATTTGAATCAAATAACCATTTTTTAAGGGTGTATGTAAAACCCGGAACACACCCGGAACACCCCGGAACACCCCGGAACACCCCGGAACACCCCCGGAACACCCCGGAACACCCCCGGAACACCCCCGGAACACCCCGGAACACCCCCGGAACACCAACAGAATACCCCCAGGAACACAAAATATAAAAATAATAATAAAATAATAATAAATAAATAAAATAAAAACAAATGAGATTGAAGTAGTGAAATCGAACACGGTAAGCTGTCAAGAGCCGTTAACGAATCGACTGATACCGAACACTTCCGAAGATGCCCCGAATATTTCCGAAGACTTACGAAGATGTCCCGAACACTTCCGAATATTTCCGAATATTTCCGAAGATGCCCCGAAGATGTCCCGAAGATTTCCGAAGATGTCTCGAAGACTTCCAAAGATGTTCCGAAGATTTCCGCACGTTTTCAGAAGACCCGAATTTTTCTCTGGTCCCGAGGGTGTCCGCTTACGTAAAGACGAAGAGTAAAAGAGAGCGCAGAAAAATTCGCCTGATACTCAGGTTAGGGAGGTTCGACTGAACAAACAACGACATGATTGATCAATGACCAATTGTCTATGAAATTGCACATGGCAATGACCTCCGATTACCTCAAATTCAATGTCACGCTCTGTGGTGTTGGCCAATTGGCAAACATTTGAATTTTGAGCGGTCCTTTGCCACTTATTCACTCTTAGATAATAAGCTTCGGAAAAATTCGGTCTTCTGAAAACGTGCGGAAATCTTCGGAACATCTTCAGAAGTCTTCGATATACCTTCGTAAATCTTCGGGACATCTTCGGAAGTGTTCGGGACATCTTCGGTACATCTTCGGAAATCTTCGGGGCATCTTCGGAAGTGTTCGCTATCAGTCGATTCGTTAACGGCTCTTGACCGCTTACCGTGTTCGATTTCACTACTTCAACCACTATATAAATATATTTGTTTTTATTTTATTTATTTATTATTATTTTATTATTATTATTATATTTTTTGTGTTCCTGGGGTATTCTGTTGGTGTTCCGGGGGTGTTCCGGGGTGTTCCGGGGGTGTTCCGGGGGTGTTCCGGGGTGTTCCGGGGTGTTCCGGGGTGTTCCGGGGTGTTCCGGGGTGTTCCGGGTGTGTTCCGGGTTTTACATACACCCATTTTTTAAGCGGAAAGCTTCAGCCGTTTTAAATGTAAGATCTTTATATTGGCTTAGTAATGATTCAGAAGAGTCCTTCCCTTCGCAAAAGGCGGTAGCGGAGTGGGAAAGTAGAAGGCCTTTCTTGTACTTTAATCGAGCGTGCACGCCGGATTGACAAAAGCCATATTAGGTACGCATGATTGACGGAAGTATTGTTTTTCGACCAATCAGGAAAACATTCAGAATCTGAATGTTGTACATGAGATCCGGCAAGTAATTGTATCAGGCCCTCCTCTCTTCGAGGAGGGCCTGATCGCAGGTTACCTGTATATGGCCTAAGCTCCCACAAGTGTCCTGTAGCTCAGTGATAGAGTGTCCGACTGGTGTGTGGAAGGTCTACTTGGTTCAACTCCTGTTGGGGGAACTCGGAATTATTTTCCGAGTAGCTTATGTCACTGACTGAATAATATCTTTCTCATGTTTCTCATTTATTGAGAAAAGAGTGCTGCCCTGTCTATGGAATACTGTGGAATTCATGATTGCCTCACCTCCCACCTCAAAAAGACACACCCACTAACACAGCAGGCCAGCCCATGTGTCTGAGAATATATAATCACACTTTGGCCTAGGGTGGAATTCCAAGTAATATCACATTGTGAACACAACATCCTAAGGGTCTTTTTTGTTTCATTTTATTTTTATCACCGAAGCTAGTGTGGCTGTCAGTTTCGCACCAGTTAGTATGTGACATTGTCAATCAAGACAGTACTGGTGTAAATCCTTTCATATGTAAATGTGTTTTACTGACCTTTACTCACAAGTTCATTTTATGCAAATCAAACTCATTTTCATTTGAATGGCTTCGCGCAAGAACTTATTTTGAAACAGAGGCAACAGACGATTCGGAAAAGTCCCATTGATACAATTAAAAAACAGGCCTAGGGGACATACATTGTAAAAATGCATTACTTACTTGCCAGGTCACAAAAACCACCTGCCAGCAGCATGCGTTTCCATTTTTCCTGATCAGTGCGCACCTTCCTCTTACGCACACCAATGCCTTGTGCGATGAGAGAGACATACATCAGCGGTGTCGTTCCCCAACTGCTCGCCAAATTAAGAGGTGCTCTGTGATTACAAAGTGCTTCCAAAACATCGAGGTGGCCGTTGAGGGTTGCCATAGCAACGGGTGTCTTTCCCATACAGTCTCAGTGAGCAGACATGTCGGCCCCATGCTCCAGAATAATCTCAACGCATGGAGCAGATTGGGCGAAGTGTAAAGGCGTCATACAGGGGACTCGGCACGAGCTTGTAATGAACGTACCGGAAGTAATCTCATTCGACTTGGTGCTCCATACAGCTTCTCTGTTGTTAACATGAGCTCCGTGACAGCAAAGCCATTTCACGGCAGCTGCGTTATCGTATTCCACGGCTACTCTGAGTGGCGTGACGGGAACCCGAACAGTACTATTTTCCCGTAATTATAATATAATAATATGCAAGCAAGACGAGGTGTAGCAGTGCAAATCGATATGACGGGAAAATCGCATCTTCTTAGATTTCTTTAATTTTCTTCAGTTAATTTACAGAGCGATAATAACTTTAAAGGCATATTTCGTAGTAAAGTATTGGTTTTATATAGCCTGCTGAGGTTAAAAGCAATATAGTTCAGTGATGTTCAGTCTTGACTCCAGTCTAGTCACTAGTTGTAGGCAGGGCTGGGTGTGTGGGGATTTGTTACAAACCTGGAATGTTTAATAGAGCTTGCGGGTATGTTCTGATATAAGGCATTTTTCACTTGTATTTGTTCAAATGCGCATTGCAATTTAACTCAGGGATGAGATCGTACGTCAGCTTGTATAAAAGGCGCCTATGGCAGCTGGGCTCTCTTCTTTAGGTTTCGTGCTCGCGGGCTCGGCTCGTAACTCGCAGCTTTGCCGTTCGCGCGAAACCCAAACAAGAGGCAAATCAGTCCATTTATGATCTCACCCCACCCACCCCATGAAGACTGAGCTCAATGAAGTATTCAAATAAACTAGAACATTTGTTACCAATTTATTGGAATCTTTACAATATGACATGCAGAAGTTTAATTGAACATTTTTCACAACTACAGTCAAACCGTGGACACCCTCGGGGAATACTCTGGTGTCTACTTAATGCCGTGTGTCCGCTTAATAGAGGTATTATTTACAGTAGATACGGGAACTGATAACCTGTAGGACTTTTAATACTTAATAAAAGGTGTCTGCTTTATACAGGTTTGACTGTAGTTTAGTTTTTAGCAGCGTCAAGAAAATTATCAAAGATCAAATTACACACATTGGCAGAGTAAAAGGCTCTTTTGAAACTGCTCTTTTTACAATACTGATTGACTATAAACTGTTTTATCATGGCATAATACCTTGACTTCTTTATTTATTACAATGAACAGATTTAAAAGAAACCCAGACCACAGGCCGGGGCAGAGATATTCCAGTATAGTTCTATGTCTTAAAATTAATGAATGGAATGTGCTCAAGGAAATGAAATTAGGGGCTCAGACGTTTTTCTGTTTCCCTAAAAACTCGCTCATTGTACACCATTCATTTACTCAGCTCCATGTCAGTCTTATTTGGCCTTTTATCCACTAACTTGTAATCGTACCGTGAGCTCTGTCAATAGTCATAGACTCTGAATCACCTTATTTTCTCTTGGAATCACCTACAATATATATATTTTTTATGAAAGATCAGTCTTGACTTTCCTGACGTCATTATTTACATCTCGTATCTTGAAACTCACACGATTAAAAAACAGATAGAAATAGCATGCTAAATTTAGTTATCGTGCCAAGCTTAAAAGGAAACGATTTGAAATCTGCATTCAAAAGTTGTAACATTTACAGTACTAGTCGTTTGTAAGGGCTGTGTGGCAACGGCTCTTGCTCTATCGTATTTATAAGTTTGTTAGACTAAATTTAATTTTCGGCAAATGTATGCTATAATGAGGAGATAAAACTAGCCTAAGTCGACCGACGTAAACAAATATCGCCTTATATGATTGATATTATTTAAAATCGTAATTTTGGTCCCCGCCGGCGTGCGCGCGGGAATCCCCACAGGCTGCGCACGTCGACTACTCGCAGCCTATACATCGTCTGTGATGTCAGCCGTTAAAACGAAGTTGTGCTTTAGTAAATCATCCGACCATGGCCGATCGTCAGGGTTCCTACAAAAACAATAATATGAGTTAAGCATAACTATTACTGCCCCCAACCCTTCCAATTTAATAACAGAGCCTCATTCTTCTGCATCTCATCATTGACCTTCTGCTACTTTGGTATTCTTTCAAAGATAAATACTTTTACTATACATTTCTTAGCTAATTAATCTGCGCTTTTGATCCTATTATATAGTACTAACCGTGTCAAGGCGGCCTGTATAAACTCCTTTGCATCTTGTGATACACCCTCCGGCAGTTCAGGCTCAGTGGGTTCTGACCCAATCTTGAAGATGGCTGCTACTTCCTCGAGGTCACCCCAAGGAGGACTTCCTGTCAACATTTCCACAACTGTGCAGCCGACACTCCTTTAAGAAAGAAATGATAACACATTTTTAAGTTAGAAATGTGACTTTGGCATACTGTGGCAAACTCGCAGAAAGGAAATAGGAAACATATCTGCACGCAGGCATACTGAGGCAGTAACATTCACCCAATGATTCCTAGACTGTTCACAGCCCGTCTCTATTTTCTCAGATCATTGTAGCCTCGAGCGAACTGGAACTGTGCGCTAAGCGCGAGCGTGGGGGTAGGGGGCGGGGAAGGCTCCCCCCCCCCCCCCCCCATCCCCTCGCGCTCCGCGCTCGCTGTCATGTTAGCGTCGAGAAAATAGAGAGGCTGTGAACAGTCTAAATGATTCCTACCTTTAAAAGCTTTTAAAGTTGAGATAACTTTTACTGACATAAAAACATTGAAAGTGTACACAAATGTTTACAAGCAAGCTACCGGAAGCAAATTAAAAACAACCAGGCATGCGCACCAAAACTCTCAACTTTTATTCTTCCCGACCTTATTTCGTCGACTGAATAATATGACTCGTACTCGAACATTACATCACGTCCGTCCGTCCATCTCCCACCCTCCCTCTTCTTGTCCTTTTAACTGTACTAAGATCTACTAAGATCAACGGAAAAGCCCAGCCTGTCTATTAATATACTACATGAATATTTAGACTTAAGACTTTTAAATTACCATTTATTAGATTTCCTTTTTATAGGTGATCTGTATATAGGGATAACCTCTAGATCGACCTTTTGAAATATTTTTATCTCTTATTTTTATATTTGAATAAAGTATTATTGACAAATGACTAAACCTACCAGATATCGGCTTTACGTCCATATTGTTCACCCTTGATTATCTCTGGAGCCATCCAGTATGGGGTACCGCGGTAAGACATCAGCTTTGTTTTACTGCCAATTTTCTGGAAATAGTCAATCGGAAGAAAAAATGATTATTTTCTGAAAGTACCCGAATATAACTAAAATGTGCTAGAGGTTTTCTACAGCGTCAACGCCCTCCTCCCCCCCCCCCCCCCCCCCCTTATCCCTGTGTAGTTTTGTCCTCTTCCCAGATTTCGCCCGCCAAATTATCCAAGGCTTCACGGCGTAAAACTTGATAGAGGGACTATTTCCTTGCGAGGTCACTTTTCCGCGTGAAGCAAGGAAATAGGAGACGTCTGCACGCAGGCTGAAAACACATAATACTCCGTAGCGTCCATGGTTGTTTAAATATGATTTTTACTACTGCATGTAGTCGATATTCACTACTGTACCTGAATTATTTTTGATAATCCAAAGTCTGCTAATTTCACATTCCCATCGCCGTCTAAAAGAACATTTGATCCTAGTAATAAGAATTACAGACGTCATGAAGTCAACAGAAAAAAAATAACCCTGACTAATTTATAGCATATAGGTGGAAAACACACAGAGAATAATGGCCGGGCTAAAAAAGATAGGGTAATGTCAGGGATCGCCAAAGGTATAGAAACTTCAGTGCTGGCTAACGTATCCAGAATACACGAGTGAGGCTGGTGAGTAAATTTCAAAACGTTGAACTATTGACGTGTAATTAGCTCAGACCAACCCAGGAGCAGTGCTTGTGCCGGAAGAATTTGAATTGTTCATTTCACTGAAATTTAAGGAATGATATACAATACAGAGAATCCTAATAACTTGAAACGTTTCGGTAACTCTCCCTCTCTATATACTATACTCGTCTATACTCAGCATACTCGTCGCTCTCGAGCCCAGGGTCGGGGGTGGAGGAATGAGGAGACGACCCACATTTCAGTCTATATATACTATACCTGCCTCAAAAATCTTTACATCATTTTTTGACATATATGACATATATTAGAAAAATATTTTGCTTATGACC